TTCAACAAAGATGCTGTTCCAAGAAAATGTTTCTTGTCCAGCACTTTAACTTATTTCAGTGCCACTAATCTTGGCTTTAGCCATTTTTAATTACATCAGGAAGCATGGCTAGAAATATAGAACATGCTGATGGGTTTTTTTTTTTTTTTTTGAAGTCTGATTAAACCAAACAGGGCTTTTTTTTCCTTCCCTGCTGTTATAATCCTGTATTCTCTAGGTGATTTTTCGGGAATGAAACATGCAGAAGCATGGTCAGCTTTAAATTGTTACGAGGTACCTGTCAATCTCAGAACAATATAGTTAAGCACTAGCAAAGGAACGCACTTGATAAGATAATTACTTCTCAGCTCGTAAAGGGCTAAAAATTGAATAAATTACCATTTTCAGCAAACTCAGTTGGTGTATGATGATTCAACTTCTTGCTTTCATCTAATGCCTTGTCAGTCATTGTTGTAAACAGTAAGCATTTTCAAAAAGTCCAGTTTAACAGACATGACACGTCAGAAATTGGAGTTCTGAAGATGTCAGTGATTACTCACATCTATGAACCCTCTATTGCTGTTTCAAAACACCCATGTGATGGACAAGATGCCTTCAGTACTATTTGTGCATTCTGAACACCCACTAAGAGGTTTGAGAGTGCCAGGAATGTTGGATTGGGCTATGGAGCTTGATATACACACCTTAGCTCCATTTGTATTGAAGTCAAGGGGAGTTTTGATGCTAGCTTCACTGAGAATAGGATCAGGGCTTTGGAGAGTAAATAGCACCACTGGAGCCTAAATAATACAATGAGGTCCAAATCGGTGGACTAATGGACCCACAGAAAGCCCCAGGGGTTCATCTGCAAAAAAACTCATTGGTGGATCTAGGTCAGTGTTTCTCAAACAGGGGTCACCGCTTGTGTAGGGAAAGCCCCTGGTGGGCCGGGCCTGTTTGTTTACCTGCCCCGTCCGCAGGTCCGGCCGATCACAGCTCCCACTGGCTGCGGTTCACCGCTGCAGGCCAATGGGGGCTGCTGGAAGCAGCGGCCAGTAAGTCCCTCTGCCCACGCCACTTCTAGCAGCTCCCATTGGTCTGGAGCAGCAAACCACGGCCAGTGGGAGCCGCGATCAGCCAGACCTGCGGACGGGGCAGGTAAACAAACTGGCCCGGCCCGCCAGGGGCTTTCCCTACACAAGCGGCGACCCCAGTTTGAGAAACACTGATCTATGTCTTCATGTGCACAATGATTAAAGCAAAATTATAATGCCAAATATTTCCTGCTGGTTCCCTACAGAATGAACTACTGTAAAAAATCTTCACTACATTGCATATATTAAAAGTGTCTGGTTGTTGTTGTTAGTGTCCTAGATGCTTCACAGAAGCACAAAATGCCGCATTCCCTGCCCTGGGGAACTTAGACCCTGATACTGGAAAGATGGAGGTATGTGCTTAGCTTTACACATCATAAATAGTCCCATTTATCTCAGTGGGACTACTCACAGGGTGCAACTTAAATCTGTGCCTACGGCTTTGTAGGATGAGGGTCTTGCAAATGTTGCAAATGGATCTCTGTGAGAGGACCCATTAAAGAGAAACTATTTGCAGGATCTAGCCCTAAATTCAGATGCAAATCAGAGTCATAAAGGATTGAAAATGAGTGGAAGGACAAAGTTATGCAGTTATTCAATTAAGATACACACATCCTGAAGGTTCCTTTAAACAATAACCTAATTTAATAACTCACTTCTCAGAGGCATGTGCATTACTGCACATATAGTATATTATTTTACAGAGTAAGTGTCTCAAAGCTCTCCCTCATATTATAAGGCATGATTTATTTTTAAGCTCTTTTTTGTGTGTGTGTAAATCAAATACTACTTTCTAAAGCTAAGAGCCACAAAATTCCATTTGAATGAACAGAGACATTTTTCTCACTGGTAATATTCATGTAAAACTTTTGAAAGGGTACTATTTCATTTTTATAGTTCTCTGGAAACTCTCCTCTCCTGTGTAGTGAGTGATGGAATTTCTCATCCTTCTCAAGCCACCTTACAGCCTTTTGTTATTTTTTTTCTCTCCTTTTTTTTTTCTCTTTTAGGTACAGTGCAGAGTATGAACTTTGGAACTTTAGACACTTGTAAAATATTAATGAACATAAATCTAACACATTTTCACAAAGTGCAGCTCATATGAACATAACACAGACTCTTCACAATTACAATCAGCTTTTTCTTTTCAGCTGGAGTCCGTGGGTGGGATTTTCAAGATCATTTAAGTGACTTAGGAGCACAAGTCACATAAGTGCTTTTGTATATTTCATCCCCATACATACGAACTATTGACTACATCCTGATATGTAATAGCAGTGAAATAGGCTAATGGCAAAATACTTTCTATCTTAATTACTTATATGGCCCCCTTTACCATGGTAAATGTCTCATAACATCCCTGAGAACTACTGCTGTCCCTACTTTACAGGTGATGAGGCACAGAGAGACTAAGAGTTAAGGTCACACAGGAAGCCTGTTCAGAAGAGTAGGGAATTGAAACCAGATCTCTCAAGTGTCAGGCTAGGGCCCTAACCACTGGACTAGAGCTGGTGGAAAGCATTCACAGAGAAGAGTTTTCTATCAAAACCTTTTGTGGGAATACGTTGATTCCATCAAAACATTCAATGGCAACCAGACATGTGGTCTTCCTGTTTCCCCTGTTGCCCAGCCAGCTAACTAGGGAGATGGCTGAGTAGTCAAAGACTCTTGCCAGCCCAGAACTCTTCAAAAAATCCTATTTTGATTCTTCCAAAACAGATATTTTGAATCAGAATTTTGAATTCTCCTGCAGACAATTTTGCATTTCCAACTTTTTGTTCAGATTCAGACTGAAGAAAATTCAGAAATGCAAAATTTTCCAAGGGACAGAAATTCTGCTTCCCACAAAACTGCACTGGCCCATGCTTCCTCATAATATCTCAGAATTATCTTTGCTTCCTCACACTCTCTTTTTCTATGACTTTTATGGATGATGTCAATTACCAGTAGCAGATTTTACGTGTACGTCATGAACACAGATAAATTAAACAGTCTTACTGTAGATACAGACAGATATGAATAGCTATGACAGCACTGTGTTCTCCTTTCAGGTTAAAAATAAGTGCATCCCAACTCCCTTTGAATCATTTCTCTGTGATATAGAGACCGTGTAACTGGCTACTCACAGAAATCCCAGAACCTTTGCCTCCGAAGGAGCAGTGTGCCAGAGTTTACTAGGTTTACCTTAAACCATCGCTCCTCTAAACCCCACAGCACTTGCACAGCACTTATTATAAAACAAAAGTACATTAATTTAAGAAAGGGTAAATATTTAACTAGAAAAAAGTGGTGGAAACAAAGGGTTAGAATAAAAAACAGTCATTAAATGTGACCCTGGATCTAAATGTATCAATAGTTACTTTTCTTATCTAATAAAGTAGGTCTGCCACCCCACCAAGTCCAGTCTGTTGCAGAGTTAGCTGGCTTCACAAGAACCAAGATCCAATTGTTCCTGAATACACCTCTCTCCTCAAGATGTCTCCTCGGTGGAAGGATGCAAAGAACCTCTCCCTCCTCAGTATAACACAAAAAGTCTTTTTGTTCCTATTCATAGACAGGGAAAACCTCTATTGTGATATTTCTTTTTGATCTTTAAGTGGTTTTATTTTATTTTTATTTTTTTTGCAATTGCCTCCGATGATTTTTCCATTGAAAGACTTAGTATTGTGCAAGGCTAAACAACTGAGCCTTGTATTTCATCTCTGGTTAAAGAGGGCAGGATGACAACTTCCCCCTGCCTCAATGGGCCATCACTCACCACAGGTTGTGTTTCACTACTTTTTGCTCCATGTCCATAAAGTATACTTTCAATGTAAATACATTTTTCCTTTATTAATCATGCATACATTTCAGAGTAACTATGATTCTTGACAATCCATGAGCTTTCTGTAAATACCTTGCATGTTACCCTTTATGGATAACTATTCCATAAAACCATGTTTGGTGTAGAAAGTTTGCCATGTCTGAGGTTCCAGTTGTTTGCAAAGAACAGGGGACCCTTTGCTAAGTAGCCTCTATCACACCTTTCTATATTGATTTCCTTTGAATTTGTGCTGTGATACCAGTCTAATTTATTTGCAATAATAAAAATCCTGGCTTCACCTTCATGTTTCTACAGTATGTCAGCAGTATATTTGATAACAAAGCACACTCAAATACTACTACATTATTGCTTACTTATAATGTCTACTGCAATAGCTGATATCACTAAACAATATTAACAAAGTATAGCCTGTATAATAGAAAGCTATCATCATAATATATGAGCACCTGATATAAAATATTACCAGGAAGGAATTGCATTAATACGTGTGCTACTAAAGCTAGGTAGGTGATCCTAATAGGTTTCCTATCATAAGTTCAGACTATTTGCATGTTCAGACCAAATGCTTACCTGGTGTAAACTGATGTTGCTCTATTGAGGTTAGTGTAACTATGCCAATTTACAGAGACTATGGATCTGGCACTCAGTTTTCAGTTGTCCCCACTCTTTAGTTTTGAAATAAAACTTGGCCCTGGATGTTGAAATGAAGTGATCTAAGCACTGAAAATGGTTTGTTCTAAGATAGTATTGAATACTTTTATTTTCAAAATTACATGTCATTCGCAGAGTGATTGGACCCTTTAGGGGCGCAGGGTCCAGCTGCACTTGTGCCAAAATTAATTAGCTGCTTCTCAGCCTGAGGGAGTGGGATTAAGGGGATCAGATGGCAGCTTGACTGACACCTGAGCCTCATAAAAGGGCTCAGAGGGATCAATGTAGGTGTAGAACAGCTAGTGGAATGACTCCAGGGGAACCAGTCTGGTCTATACCAGAGCATGAGAGATTCCAAGGTAGCTCAGAACGAGGCTGTGAACAGGCCACAGAGGAGGTCAGGGTGCTGAAGAGAAACCAACGAAAGCCTTAAGAATCTTTTTGCTTTCTAGGACTTTTGAGTTGGATCTTTGTTACACTGGAGGACCAAGCCACATCTTCAGCACTGACCTGTTCTTGAAAAGTGGAGAAGACCCATGATGGGGAAGGAAACTGAGGCAAGAAGGGTTGGCAGTGTCAGGCCTACCCAGCAAGGGGTACTATGGAGGTAACCATGCCGTACACAAGTATACAGATCTATGCCTAATTTGCAGGTCCATATACTGTGTTTTCACATGTACATTTTACATGTAATTGCATATTCATTTGAAAACGTCTTCTAAGTTATAAATGTCCTCTTTTATGTTCATAAAATTCTAGTTCACAGGAGTGATGTAAAAAGCTTTCGGAACAGCACTTTTTGAGTGAGTTTATTTAAGCAATCACTTACTGTAAGTGAACAGGCTGCATTCAATGCAGTGAACCACATTAGATTTGTACAGTGTGTAAGTACAGTATATTGAAGATAATTTGTCAGCCGAAACACAACTTGCAATTATTTTGCCACAGTACGCTGACCTCACCAGTATTATCTGACAAGTACTATATTATATTGACACCACTAACATAGCTAAAGTTAAGAATATATCAATGTTTCCATTAAAACCCATATTTTCAGGGGTTTACAACTAAGCTATTTAGAAAGTATCATAGGCTGAAACTTAACAGACAAGGTTTTAGCATGCAGCATTTTTTTAAAATAAAATTGTTAAAACATAATTTTGTATGCATTTGAATTCTGACAGTACAATTCCATTGCTTCCATTGCATACATTTTAGGATGCCTTGTTATGCTCTTACACAGAAAAAAAAATATATATATATTCTTAAAAAGTTGATTGTTACTGTTCATAGCACTTCCATTATTTTTATAGTCTTCAGTGAACTGCCTTGTGTAACTCTTTGAGATGTCTATTAAACTGAACATTATGTTCAAGAGGAATCCCAGAAAAATATAATTTTAGGTGTTTTCTGGGTTTTGTCCAAATTGTGTCCCAGTAGGGTTGCCAACTTTCTAATCACACAAAACTGAATGCCCCCTTCCCCGAGGCCCCACCCCATCCTATCTCTTCTCCGGAGCCCTGCCCCCACTCGCTCCATCCCCTCTCTCTCTTTCGCTTGTTCTCCCCCACCCTCACCCACTTTCAATGGGCTGGAGCATGGGGTTAGGGTGAGAGAGGGGGGTGAGGGCTCTGGATGGGGGTGCAGGCTCTGGGGTGGGGCTGGAGATGAGGGGTTTGGGATTCAGGAGGGGGCTCAGAGCTGGGCAGGGGGTTGGGGTGCAGGAGGGTATGCAGGGTGTGGGGTTCTGGCGGTGCTTACCGTGGCTCCCAGGGAGCAGCCGCCAGGTCCCTGCAGCTCCTAGGCTCATGGGCGGCCAGGGAGGCTCTGTGCGCTGCCCTTGCACCCACAGTCGCCACGCCCGCAGCTCCCATTGGTCACGGATCCTGACCAATGGGAGCTGCAGAGCCAGCACTAGGGGCGGGGGCAGTGCATGGCACCTCCCTGGTCACTCATGTGCCTAGAGGCCTCAAGGACCTGGTGGCTGCTTCCAGGAGCCACACAGTGTTAGGGCATTCAGGGAGCCTGCCTTAACCCTGGGCCCCCACTGCACCAGCAACTGGACTTTTAATAACCTGGTCAGAGCTGCCAGGGTTCCTTTTCAACTGGGCATTCCAGTCGAACGTCAGATGCCTGGCAACCCTGTATCCGAGTAATCATCTCCTTCAGCAATTTGAAGCTCTTTGCCCTCCTCCTGTCATTTGATCTTCAAATGGGAAGGAGAAAATATGACAAGGTGTTCAGTCAGCCCTCTCGGTGCTTGACTGCTGAGTGATTTGGAGAATCCAGTTGCATCAGAAATTTCTCTAGTGGTGGAAGATTTGTCACCTGCCAGTTATGATGCAACCATTTTATTTAAATTAGAGTGTGAGTGAGTGATTGTAAAAGGGAAGATGGGATGAAAACAGTTGAAAATTGTTGCATTGAAAGTTGGACATTGAAATTTGATTGATGGTCAGTAGGAAATAAACTTCCAAACATATTTTTCCAGGATGCACACTTAAAACTTGTCACTTACACACCTAAGTGGGAATACAGTGTGACAGGTTTGGTCACAGAGACTCCCTTGGGACTGTAACCTGATGTGCTGAAATTACCTCTGAGCCCATTTTCCCTGATGACTTGGGACTCCAGAACCCTGTCTTGTTGAGCCAGACATGCTAGCCTGCTAGCATTCTTCGACCATGGGATGGTGTTCCAAGAAGGAGGAGTGCTAGGCAGAGACGGGCTCCACCTAAAGAAGAGAGGAAAGAGCATCTTCGCCAGCAGGCTGGCTAACCTAGTGAGGAGGGCTTTAAACTAGGTTCACCGGGGGAAGGAGACCAAAGACCTGTGGTAAGTGGGGAAATGGGATCCTGGGAGGAAGCACAAGCAGGAGAGCGCAAGAGGGGAGGACTCCTGTCTCATGCTGAGAAAGAGGGACGATCAATGAGTTATCTTAAGTGCCTATACACAAATGCAAGAAGCCTGGGAAACAAGCAGGGAGAACTGGAAGTCCTGGCACAGTCAGGGAACTATGATGCGATTGGAATAACAGAGACTTGGTGGGATAACTCACATGACTGGAGTACTGTCATGGATGGATACAAACTGTTCAGGAAGGACAGGCAGGGCAGAAAAGGTGGGGGAGTTGCGTTGTATGTAAGAGAGGAGTACGACTGCTCAGAGCTCCGGTATGAAACTGCAGAAAAACCTGAGTGTCTCTGGATAAAGTTGAGAAGTGTTAGCAACAAGGGTGATGTCGTGGTCGGAGTCTGCTATAGACCACCAGACGAGGGGGATGAGGTGGATGAGGCTTTCTTCTGGCAACTAGCAGAAGTTGCTAGATCGCAGGCCCTGGTTCTCATGGGAGACTTTAATCACCCTGATATCTGCTGGGAGAGCAATACAGAGGTGCACAGACAATCCAGGAAGTTTTTGGAAAGTGTAGGGGACAATTTCCTGGTGCAAGTGCTGGAGGAACCAACTAGGGGCAGAGCTTTTCTTGACCTGCTGCTCACAAACAGGGAAGAATTAGTAGGGGAAGCAAAAGTGGATGGGAACCTGGGAGGCAGTGACCATGACATGGTCGAGTTCAGGATCCTGACACAAGGAAGAAAGGAGAGCAGCAGAATACGGACCCTGGACTTCAGAAAAGCAGACTTTGACTCCCTCAGGGAACAGATGGGCAGGATCCCCTGGGAGAATAACATGAAGGGCAAAGGGGTCCAGGAGAGCTGGCTGTATTTTAAAGAATCCTTATTGCGGTTGCAGGAACAAACCATCCCAATGTGTAGAAAGAATAGTAAATACGGCAGGCGACCAGCTTGGATAAACAGTGAAATCCTTGCTGAACTTAAACGCAAAAAAGAAGCTTACAAGAAGTGGAAGATTGGACAAATGACCAGGGAGGAGTATAAAACTATTGCTCAGGCATGCAGGAATGAAATCAGGAAGGCCAAATCACACTTGGAGTTGCAGCTAGCAAGAGATGTTAAGAGTAACAAGAAGGGTTTCTTCAGGAATGTTAGCAACAAGAAGAAAGTCAAGAAAAGTGTGGGCCCCTTACTGAATGAGGGAGGCAACCTAGTGACCGAGGATGTGGAAAAAGCTAATGTACTCAATGCTTTTTTTGCCTCTGTCTTCACGAACAAGGTCAGCTCACAGACTGCTGCACTGGGCAGCACAATATAGGGAGAAGGTGACCAGCCCTATGTGGAGAAAGAAGTGGTTCGGGACTATTTAGAAAAACTGGACGTGCACAAGTCCATGGGGCCGGATGCGCTGCATCCGAGGGTGCTAATGGAGTTGGCGAATGAGATTGCAGAGCCATTAGCCATTATTTTTTGAAAACTCATGGCGATCGGGGGAGGTCCCGGATGACTGGAAAAAGGCTAATGTAGTGCCCATCTTTAAAAAAGGGAAGAAGGAGGATCCGGGGAACTACAGGCCAGTCAGCCTCACCTCAGTCCCTGGAAAAATCATGGAACAGGTCCTCAAGGAATCAATTATGAAACACTTAGAGGAGAGGAAAGTGATCGGGAACAGTCAGCATGGATTCACCAAGGGGAAGTCGTGCCTGACTAACCTAATTGCCTTCTATGATGAGATAACTGGCTCTGTGGATGAGGGGAAAGCAGTGGATGTGTTATTCCTTGACTTTTGCAAAGCTTTTGATACAGTCTCCCACAGTATTCTTGCTGCCAAGTTAAAGAAGTATGGGCTGGATGAATGGACTGTAAGGTGGATAGAAAGCTGGCTAGATCGTCGGGCTCAACGGGTAGTGATCAATGGCTCCATGTCTAGTTGGCAGCCGGTTTCAAGCGGAGTGCCCCAAGGGTCGGTCCTGGGGCCGGTTTTGTTTAATATCTTTATTAATGATCTGGAGGATGGTGTGGACTGCACTCTCAGCAAGTTTGCAGATGACACTAAACTAGGAGGCGTGGTAGATACACTAGAGGGTAGGGATCGGATACAGAGGGACCTAGACAAATTAGAGGATTGGGCCAAAAAAACCTGATGAGGTTCAACAGGGATAAGTGCAGAGTCCTGCACTTAGGACGGAAGAATCATATGCACTGCTACAGACTAGGGACCGAATGGCTAGGTAGCAGTTCTGCAAAAAAGGACCTAGGGGTCACAGTGGACAAGAAGCTGGATATGAGTCAACAGTGTGCTCTTGTTGCCAAGAAGGCTAACGGCATTTTGGGCTGTATAAGTAGGGGCATTGCCAGCAGATCGAGGAACGTGATCGTTCCCCTTTATTCGACATTGGTGAGGCCTCATCTGGAATACTGTGTCCAGTTTTGGGCCCCACACTACAAGAAGGATGTGGAAAAATTGGAAAGAGTCCAGCGGAGGGCAACAAAAATGATTAGGGGTCTGGAGCACATGACTTATGAGGAGAGGCTGAGGGAACTGGGATTGTTTAGTCTCCAGAAGAGAAGAATGAGGGGGGATTTGATAGCAGCCTTCAACTACCTGAAGGGGGGTTCCAAAGAGGATGGAGCTCGGCTGTTCTCAGTGGTGGCAGATGACAGAACAAGGAGCAATGGTCTCAAGTTGCAGTGCGGGAGGTCCAGGTTTGATATTAGGAAACACTATTTCACTAGGAGGGTGGTGAAGCAC